TGGCATCCCGGCCCCCAGCCCCCTAACCTCTGACCCCTGCGGCATCGCGGCCCCTAGCAGCCCCCCTGCGGCATCCCCACCCCCTGATCTCCGTCCCCAGTGACTTCGCGGCCCCCTGCAGCAACTCTGCCCCGCCCCGCGCCGCCTCCGGCCCCCTGCGGCACCTCTGCCCCCCCATCCCGCGGCCTCCCGGCCCCTTGGGCATCCCTGCCCTCTGCAGACCCCAGTCTTCCTGATGCATCCCCGCGCATTGGCCCTCGCCACCCCTGGCCCCGCTGCAGTCCCGCGCAGCACCCCAACCCCGCGGCCCCCCACCCTGGGCGCAGGTTGACGCGCCCCCTCTCCCTGGCAGCGGTGCTGCTGCGGGCGCGTGAGGCCGCGCAGTTCCTTCGGCCCAGGCAGCGCCGTGCCTACCAGGTCTTCGAGGAGGCCAAGCAGGGTCACCTGGAGCGGGAGTGCGTCGAGGAGCTGTGCAACAAGGAGGAGGCCCGGGAGGTGTTCGAAAACGACCCCGAGACGGTGAGGGGCGTCCCAGGCCGGGGGCGGGCGGGCCTGTGTCGGAAGCCCTCCGGGGTCCGGAGCTTCATCAAGCTCCACCCAGGACTGCGACCTGGGCCCCCGACCGTGCTTACTGCTCTGGCGAGCCCTAGTGGAAGGGCTCTCGGCTTCCCCTCAGAACTCAGACCCCAGAAGCTCCCGGTGAGGGTCACAGCACCAGCCTTCCAGTGTGCCTTGGTGACCCTCTGGCACCCCAGTTTCCCTGTGACCCCAGGTTCCGTTTAGGAGAGGAGGCAGGTCTTGGAGCCAGATATGATTGGGGCCCTGCAGCAGCTCCTGAGAGAAGCGGGTGAAAGGAAATGCTCAAAATAAGATGGGGCCTCCCTCAGGATAAAGCAGGAGCCGGTTTTCAAAGTGTAGAAGAAACACAGGGTTAAAAAGCTAAATACTTCCTTTGCCGCAGCCCCCCCCCCCCAGCCGGAGTGGAGGTGAGGGCTGGGGCTGCATCTGGGTGCTCCTCCGGAGAGCCTGAGGGTTTTCCTGAAAGAGGAATTGAAAGACCTCAGGGCTGGAACTGCTTGCAGCAGCAGGTCCAAAAATATGATTCAGGAATTGTGCAGAGAACAGACAGGGGGGGTGGGAGGAGTGGGGAAGGGCCCAGGACTGGCCTCTGCAGTCCCTGGCCCAGGACATGCTGGTATGAATGATGTCTTTGGGAAACCAGGCAGCAGCAGCCCAGGGGTGGACAGGAGTCCCCACAGGAGCAGTGGAGGACACTTAGGAATGGGCACTGGGCAGAGCACATGGTTTTGCAGTGGCCCCCCTGGTGTCAGGGGATGCCACCAAGTTAGGGAGATTTCAGAGCTGACTTTTTGGCTCTGCTGGAATTTTTCTTTTAAAAATTCTGAGATAAAATAAATGCCACATTTGATAAAAGGATGGGACTGTGGCCCACGTGGGTCTTTATTTTGGCTGGCATCTCTAGCGGTTGGCTGGACAGCCCTTCAGACTTGCTTCTGAAGCGGCTGGAACTGCTGGACGCCGTCCAGGGCTGGAGAAGCAGGCTGCCTCCTCTGCGGCCGCCCTCCCCCGATGGAGCGGTTCTCAGGTCTTCTCCTGACCTGGCTGTCTTATCCTTCCTTTGATGATGAACCCTGGTACAATGACTCAGGCCCCTCGCAGAAGGTCTCTGGGGCTGAGGCAGGTCTGCCAGGCACTCGTCACCCGACTGTGGAGTTATGTGACGGGGGCAGTGCCCTCTCACCCCATCCTCACCTGGGACAGGGTCTGTGGTGACAAGAGCTGAGCCCTGCCAAGCCACCGCCCAGCCCAGCCCTCTGCAGCCCTGTTTGCCAGGCCCGACAGGCCCGAGCCGGCTTCTCCTGGCTGCCCGGACAGACAAGCTGCTTTTGCCAGAGTCAGGCCCCTCTGGTTTGACGTGGTTTTATATTTAATTATAACTCCATTTACAAGGGTGTAAAAAGAAAAGAAAAAGAAATAAGTACTCAGAGCCGCATGGCTTCGGCACAAGGCCTGGGCCGTGGGTGCCACTCCTGTCTGTGTTGTGGGCGGGCCTTCCTCTGCTGGCCTGGCCGTGGGGCCTATCAGGAGTCAGACCCTGTTCACATCGAGGTGTCTGTCATTTCCCAGTTCTCCTCCTGTCCCACAGCTAATGCTCCATCACCTGAGTTCTCCTCCAGTCCCCTCAGCTAGCCCTGTGTCTGTCACAGTGATGGTCAGACTACCTGTCTGCACCTCTGGTGGCCAGTGGAGGAGCCAGAGCTCCGGGCAGGATGTGGGCCTGATGTGCCCCCTTTCTCTTTCCTCAGGCAGGGTGGGATGCGGGTGGTGGTGGGGGGATCTGGGTCTGGTCAGAGCTGGACTTGGGCAGTACAGGTGTCCACCTTCCGCTGTGCCCCATTCTGCTCCACACCCATGCGGAGGCCTGAGGCCAGGGGCCCGGGGTCTCCAGACCCCATGCTGCTCATACCCTGTGGAAGGGTGCAGAGGCAGGCCTGCGAGGTCTGGTGAGCCTGGGGCTTTCCCGAGACACAGGCATGGTTGGTCTGGCCTGGAAACAGCTCTTCAGCATTCTTTGAAGGGGGCTCCTGGGTGGTCCAGATAAGAGGAGGGTGGGTCCTGGTGCCTAGGAAGGAGAGGACCACCTGCCAGGCCAGATTAGCACAGTGGCTGGGCCAGGCCAGGGCCCTCCCACAGGGTCGACCTGCTGCCCTGTCCTGTGCCAGCCCACTTAGGGATTTAGGGAGCTGGAAGCTGATAGTTTGTCCTGGCCCTCTGTGAGAGGCCTTGTCCAGCACACCTGCCCACATCCGGCCCCTCTCCTGGCAGGAAGGCCAGCTGATCTCTTCTTGGGAGGGGAGAGTGGGAGCATTGCTCCGTCCCCGGCTGTGTGGGCCTGGGCAGCTGGAGCTCCATCTCCAGGGACCTGGCTGGGTTCTCTCCTCTGCCTGAGGGACAGCACTTGGCCTGCAGGGCTCTCCCCACAGCTGGGAGTGAAGTCCAGTGGCCTTTCCGGTGCTGCTGTTGGCCTTCCCACACCTCTGCCCTCCCTCTGAGCACTTCCTGCAGCACCTCCTGGCTGTCTGGCCAGCATTCCTTGGCCTAGGGTGTGTCCCTGCTGGTGACAAGCCTGGCCCTCCTGACCATTTTGTCCCCTCCCGCACTCCTCTTATCTGGCTCCCCTTTTGCAGCGCTGCCCTCCCTTCCTGCACTGAGCCTCCCCCAGGGTCCGGTGCCCAGCTCCCAGAGGCCGGGGTTGCCTCCGCTGTGCTGCGCGGCGTTGGTCCTCAGCACTCTCCTCTTACCAAAGCCCGAGCCGGATAGGATCTCTCTGCTTCCGGAGGACCTGGTCAAGTGGCTGATTTCAACCAGAGCTGCCGCCCAGGCACTTGGATTCCCGCCTGGAGGCGGAAACCCTGCGGGTTCCTGATTAGTGCTTGTTTTATTTGGGATACAAAGTGCAATGTTTATGGCAGGGCAGGTGGGCAGCCCCTGCTCAGCTGGGGGGACTGCCCTGGAGCTCTGCTTCCCTGTCCCTCCCTTCTCCCCGCCTTCCTCACCTCTCTGCTGCTGGTGGTGAGTTCTCCCCTTGGATTTTGGGGTGTGGTCAGTTTTTAAAGCCCAAGCCCAGCTGGCCTGTGTGAACTGCATCTACTTTCCAAAGACCTTTTTCCTGAGATTGCGGATTCTTCAAGAACAGCCCAGAGGGGGTCACCTCCTCCACTGATGGAAGCACCCAGTTCTCCTTGGACAACCACTGGAGGCCAGGCCCAGTTGCTGGGGTGGCCTGGGGAGTTCTAGCAGGAGGAGAGAGGGCGCCCCAAAGACTTGGAAGCAGGCACCTCGTGGGGGGATGTCCAGGCTGAGATGCCCACCCTACCCTGCTTGAAAGCTGTCCCAACATACCCCCCACACAGATGCACCCAAACAGAGACATGCAGAACACAAAACCAGGGCATGCACATGTACTCAGACACACACTGACACACAGACATGGGAAACACAGGGTCAGGACATGCACGTGTGCTCAGACACGCATTGAAACACATGCAGAGACACACACACACACTGTCACGTAGAACACAGGACATGCACATGTACTCAGACACACTGAAACACACACAGAGACACGCACACACTGTCACATAGAACACAGGACATGCATGTGTATTCAGACATGCACACACTGACACACAGAGACACATGCACACAGTGACACACATAGACACATGCACACACTGACACACAGAAACAGGATGTGCACCTGTAGTCAGATACTGACACAAGCAGACACACGCACATACTGACACGTGGAACACAGGTCAGGGCGTGTACATGGAATCAGACACACTGACACACGCAGACACACATGCAGACACACGAGTGCACATAGCATACAGGCCTTTCTCTCCCCGTCCTCTCCGGGTCCTCCCTCCCTCCCCAGTATCCTGGTTGCTGAGCCACACCTTCCCTCCAGCCTGTCCCCTCCCTGAGCCTTCCCGCCACAGGCCTGGAGGGCATAGTCCTGGGGGTCATGCTCTCCAGGGTGGGGTCCCCCCTCCAGATCGGCTCCCCCTGGAGGCTTCTTTCTGAGTCGCACCAGCCCCCCGCTCTGCACCCGGAGACGCAAAGGCCGTGGACCTGTTGCCTACAGAGGTGCTTGGGTCTGCCTCACAGTCCTAGGCCTCTGCCCTTCAAGGTCATTGTGTCCAGCACCCTCCTTGAGCCTGCAGGGCAGGCCCCGGCAGCCGCCTGCAGAGTTAAACACCGCTAAAGGTTCTTAATGGTTTTTAAGGAACCGCTGAGCAAGGCAGGGGTTCTCTCTTCCCTGGACAGAGTTTGGCCGGTGGCTGACGGCTGGGTCGAAGCCAGGCCTGGGTGCCACGCTCGTTCCTGGACTTTTTAGAACAGTGGATGGAAAGCGTCTTCTCCTAGTTAGTGCCAGGGTGAGGAGCGGGCCCCACCTCTCTCCCAGCCCTGCACAAGCCCAGTTCTGTGAGGAGCTCTGCAGACTGTCCCCTGGAGGGCAGCCCCTACCCAGCTGGCCAGCTCTGCCTCACATCCCAATCAGGTGGGGGTCAGCAGGACCAGGTCTGCTTGTCCTTAGAATGGCCCAGCTGGTCGCCCTGCAGGGCTGGTGCAAGACCAGCTCTGTCTCGTCCCTGCTCTGATGGACGTGACCAGGGGCTCTCAGGGAGGCCCAGGCCCTGATGGACATGGTGTGCTCAGGTGGTTCCTTGGCCTGGGGTGGAAGGCAGTGCTTCCTGCTGAGCGGCAGGAGTAGCTGGGTGTGGGGCCGAGCCAACCTGAAGGCAGCAGGTTGCTGTGCAGAGCCTACCTGGGAGGTCTGAGGGAGGTGAGGGAGCTGGGCCCAGCACCTGTCGCTCTGCTTGTCACTAGGACCCTCGGCCGCTGTCACCCTCCACTTTTCAGCCCCCCCTGCTCCTGACGGGAGCAGATTCCACAACCTCCTGCCTCGGGGTCTCCCATCGGGGTGGGCGTGCAGTTCCATGGAGCATGGAGGAGCAGAGCCCGCCCGCACCCTCCTGACTGCCATTCACAGTCCCTCTGTGGTCACTCCAGCCTGGGAGGTGGAGAGCCAAACTGCCGTTGTGACCGGCTGACCGGGTCCTGGAGTCTGCTTGAGCCCCACAACAGACCTGACAGAGTCTCCGGTGGGCTCCGCACTGCCACGCAGTGTCCACACTGCCACGCGGGCACACGGCCCAGCGTCTGCCAGCCCACTGTATGCACATGGCCTCTCGACGTGCACTTGGTGGAGGCCCCTCGGGAGCGGCCTCCCTGGCTCCCTGGCAGAGCTGGCTCACAGATGCAGTGGATGGGATCCGTGCAGATGCTGATAGGCACAGGGAGTCCAGGCTAAGGTGACTGTCCCTGGGAGAGCCTGCTTCCACCCAGGACACCTTCTCCTCGATGTACCTTCTCCTGAGACACTTCCAGTGGCGCTTTCCAAGTATCCCTGGGTGACCCCGATTTGCTGGCCCCTGGAAGTGATCCAACAAGTGCCCTGAGGCTCTGCAGTCACCCTGCAGACCCTGCTCAGCGTTCACTGCCTCCTGCCTCCTTCCTGGCAGAGGCCGGGGGAGGGGCTGTGGTTCGAGGGCTTGAGACCGCCCGTCCACACCTGCCCCGCCAGACTGTGGCCACCTTGTGTGCTGCCTGGGAGCTCACGCCTGCCTTCTCTTCCCACAGGACTACTTCTACCCCAGATACCTCGGTAAGTCTGACCACTTTACTCTAGCTGTCACAGAGGTGGGTTGGGAGGGAGCCCGTGGCCAAGTTGCTGCTAGAAAGAAGACTGAGTGGGAATCGGAGCAAGCAGGTGGGAAGCAGGAGCCGCCCGTGCCGAGGTTTTCTCCCCATCGCCAACCCTCGGGCAGAGCCGATTCTTGCAGGCCCCTTCTCTGCTTTGGTGCCAAGCTCCACCCACCACCTGGAAATAGGGCTGATGTGCTGTCCTCCCACTTCCTGGTGTCAGGACTGCACTTGTGCTATCACCCAAGAACCCTGTTTGTGAGGGCTGGCTCCCTGTGGTCACCCTGCTGATGGTTGAGACAGAGAACCTCGAGAAGCACGTGTTGAGTGTGGAGGGCAGTGAGTGGGCGTGGGCAGGCGGCTCTGGACCAGCCACAGTGCCCTTGGGGAGGAGGAGAAAGAGCAGCCCTCCTGGGACAGTGACTTCCGGCCGGGGTCCTGGCGGGGTGGCTCTGCGGGGACAGCCTGCTGAAGTCCTGTGCTGTCTCCTCTTTCAGGCTCACGAGAGCCGGTGTGTGAGGGCCGCAGGACCGGGGCAGTGGGTGTCCTGCCGCAGCCTGGCACCGCACTGAGCTCCGTCCTGTCCAGGATGGCGGTGACCGTGCCTTTCACTTCTCTCCTGCAGAGTGTATCAACAAACATGGATCTCCATACAGCAAAAGCCCTGACTTCGCCGCGTGTGTTCGCGGTAAGTGTCTCCTTCCTCCTGCTCCAGCGTGCACGTGAGGGGACCGCGGGCAGGAGCTCTGAGCTCCTCTGTGACCGCAGTGGGCGCCGGGCCTTCCCAGATCTGCTTCCCTCACACCCGACCTTCCTGGCACACAGGTAGACTCTGACTTCCCCAGGTGGCATCAGCATGTCTGGACAGTGCAGTGGGGAGGGGGTGCGTCCTGCCTGCTGGCCGGCTGCTCGTCCAGCACACGCAGGGTCTTCTGCTCTGCCCGGCTGCCCGCTGCGCCTCCCGCGCCTCCTGGGAGATCCTCCCGTCATGTCTGCTGTGACAGTCTGTCTCGCGGTACCCCCAGACTTGCGAATTATCATAGGCACTAGGGTGAGCCCTGGTGTCCCTTGTCCCCGAGTGCCCAGGCACCCCTCCCACCGCTCACCTCGCTCCCACCTCAGTTGAGCCTGGTGGTCCCGACAGGGGCCTGCTCCTTCACTGTCCTCTGGCTACCTGACCTCAGCAGGCAGGTTTGGCTCCTGTGTCTGTGGAGTGCTCCACTTTGGCTGATGACTTCGCGGCCCCAGAGGCCCTCAGTAGTTCAAGTGGCAATGACACTTTCTGGATGGGACTGGAGACTGCTCACCCAGCAAGAGCCCTGGAGGAGTGGGGCAGGCGTGAGGCCTGGCTAGGGGGGGACAGAGCTCTGCTGCGGCTTGGCCAGACACACTCCGTGCTCCTCACAGCTGTGTCTCCTGCCCAGAAGCACTGGCCAAGCCCCTCCCGGGTCCTGGGAGGGTCACTCTCCCTGTGAGCCTGGCCCCCCGACTGTCTAGGCCCCACCTGTGTTTGTCGGTTCCTTGCTGGCAGTCTTACTTGGAGTCCGTGGGCATGTCCGAGCCTGCGTTCTTGCTCGCCCACTCTTGTTAGACGTAATCGGCAGCCTCAGAGATCATTTCTGAGTCTGCCAGAGTCCAGATGCAGCCCTAGACAGGCAGGGGCTCCTGGTGAGCCTCCGGGTCCAGAGCAGGGGCTGCAGCTCTCAGGGCAGCAGTGGCTGCAGCTGCCGAGCTCAAAGCCCCTGCCCTGAGCACAGACTGCTCTCTCTGTGCCAGGAAGAGCCTCAGTTTCCATCTCTTTACCTTTGCATGGACAGCTCCAGGTTCTCCAGCTGAGCTCTCCCACCAGGCCCTGCAAGTGTTGAACTGTGCTCAGGATGAGGTCCATGTGCCCAGCCATGCAGGATGCCCCCTTAGGGGAACAAGGCTCCTTTCTCGTGGCCAGAACAAAGGCCAGCAGTGGACGGAGCGTGTGGCCAAGTCCCTGCTTGCTTCCCATTCCCTCTGCAGCTGCACATGGAAGGGCTGAGACGGTCTCTCTCTGAACACACACGAGGCTTGGTGACCAGCATACAGAGCAGGGGTGCCGAGTAGCCATCCTCCCTGCAGAGGCGTGTCTCTTCCTCTGCCTTTCCCAGCCGGGTCAGCCTGATCCCACAGAAGTTGGCTGGGCACCTGCAGAGGGAGAGGCTCGACCTTGGCTTCTATCCCGGAGATAAGTTTCCAACCGGGACAGGACACGGTGGTGGGTGGAGCTACGTTGCCTGGAGACCGAGGGAGGGACATGGAGAGACAGGCGTGTGGTGCTGGCTCCGTGGTGGGGGGCTCTCCTAAGAACAGCCCCATCCCAGTAGAAGTTGGTACTGTCCCCCTGTCAAGGGACAGACTTTGTAAAGGGGCAGTATGGTGTCCTAGGCAAATTCAAGGCCAAGTTAGCTAGCCCCCACCCTGAGTTCACAGGCACGTACTTCAGAAATCACCCTGACCCCAGCCGAATGGGTCAGTGGAACTGCACACCGTCTCCCCCACTTCCCTCCCATGGCAGGGCCCCGGGGAGTAACTGGGGCACAGTCCTGCCTCCCACCATGCCTGGTACCCGGCGCGTCTCAGGGCCTCTCCACCAAGGCGGCAGCTCTCGGCTCCCCTGACCCCAGGCGCGGCTCTACCCTGGGAGGCCCTGAGTGCAGCCAGGCGGCTGCAGTGTGCGAGGGAAATGGAGGCCTGGCTAGGGGGCCTGCACCCAAGACAGCCAGCCAAGCAAGGCATTGCTGCCCAAGGCCTCGCAAAACCAGCCACTGAGGTGGCCACAGGCCACAGAGAGGTGGGCAGAGCCCTGCTGTCCTAACAGGCTGCCCTTGAACTTGGTGCAGAGGCCCTTTGCAAAGCAGAGGCCATCTCCTGAGAGGGGACGGAGGAAGCCTGAGGCAGGTTGAAGGGGTGCGGCTTTGCCACCAGAGGTCCACTTGCCACCTCGTTCAGATTCCCTGCAGCCGCTGGGCACAGCTCAGGTGGGAGCCGGGGACAGGCTGTGGTCCTCTTAAGGATTAGGGACATATTGGCATGAGTGCCCCAGGCCTGGGTGCCTGCTGGCTGCCGAGATTGTTCCAGAGGAGGTGGACTGCGGAGGCCCCCACCCTGAGTGGGCAGCAGGTGGGCAGAGAAGCCCAGAGACAGCGCAGCCCCCACAGCCTCGACCCTGCTGCCTGACTTGTGGGCCATCCACCCATGGGAAAAGGAGCCAGGACCTCTGGTGTCATCTCCTTCTGAGGAACGGTCACCAGTGTCCCCATTGGCTGGTCACTGAGCACTCAGGCTGTTTCCTTCTGTGACCAGAAGTTGTCGCCAGGCTCAGAGGCTCTGGGTAGCCACCTGGGCCCAGGGAGAGCATCTGTCTGCAGGAGGCCACAGGTGCTGGTGCTGGGGAGGGACTGGCCGGCCCTGCCCTCTGCTGTACGTCACGGTGACTGGGTGGCGGGATGGGCCAGCCAGGTGACTGATGACTGTGGTCTCAGGGTGGCTGGGGAGTGAGGATGGCCACCCTCAGCAGGAACAAGGCGTCCCAGGTCCAGGTGTCTGCAGCCCGCCAGCCAGCATTCCGCTTGGAGGGAGGGGGAAGCAGGGAGTGTGAGCATCAGCGTCCATCTGGGGAAAGCGGCCCTGTGTGATGGAAGAAGGCCTGGTCGGAGGCCTCCCCCTGGCCAGTCCGCAGGCTGGAGCAGAAGCCACTGGGGGGCCAGGAAGCACCCTGCTGTGACTCTGGAAAGCCAATGCCCTGCCATGCTGCACCCCTCCTCCAGGACTCCCCAGAGCCTCCACAGCCACAACCCACTGGCCACCTGGACACAGGAGCCCTGGCAGCCCCCCAGGTCTCGGAGAGAGTGCATGGGCTCCGACTTGTGTGCGCTGCTCAGCCAGCAGCCCCTGAAAGTGTTCTTTGAGCCCAAGGCATGACGATAGCCCTTTCTGCCAACTTCCCGACCCCAGGACGTGGTGGCTCCCATGCCAGCTCTCCTGCCCATCTGTGCCAGGGCAGCCTCCCTGTGTGTGGCACTCCCTGGGAGGTAGCTGTGCCTGCAGTTTCCTTGACCCTGCGCCTACTGCTGGGTGCACTGCTGACCTGGAGCCTCAGGAGATGCTGTGGGCAGGGGCTCTTCCTGCTGGTGGGGCCTGGGCTGGGGTCTGGGGTTTCTGTCCTGTGCCAGTGCCCACTGAGGCTGAGCTCTGTGGACAGAAGGCTTGAGAGGCTGATGACTGCCCTGCCCAGGGCAGCCTGGCCCTGGTGGGGCAGGTGGAATACCCTAGGGTTGGCAGGGGCTGGGGGCCCTGCTCCGGGGGCGCCGAGAGGCCTCAGCTCCTGCTCCTTGGCCTCTCAGGGCCTCTGCCAATTCCTAGAGCCCCCAGGACTGGGAGCTCCTACACCTGCTCCTGCCCTGAGCTGGAGACCCTCTTGGCAGCCACATCTGCCCAGCAGCCCCTCGGAGCTCCACTGGGGGGCACACCAGAAGCTCCAGCCACTGTCCCCTGGCTCCGGGGCTTGTGGGAACCTCTCAAGACTTTCTGTCTGTGTCTCAACTCAGACCTGCCTGACCAGTGCACCCCAAACCCTTGTGACAAAGAGGGAACCCAAATCTGCCAGGATCTCATGGGCAACTTCTTCTGCCTGTGCCAAGCTGGCTGGGGCGGCCGGCTGTGTGATCAAGGTAAGAGCCCACCACCTCCGGAGGCCGGGTGGGGCCCTCTGACCACAGCTGCGCTGCCCTCTGACCATGCCCACCATGGAGGCTCAGGGGAGCCAGAGTCTGTCCTGGGGTCCTGCCCCGGTGGGTTCCCTCCCCACAGTATCCTGCGGGAGAGGCCCTGGGGTGTGGTCACCTGAGGCTTCCTGGAGCTCCTGGGGACACAGGGAGCTGGGTGGCCCCTCTGGGAGCAGGGCTGGAGGAAGAAGAGGCGTGTGGCCCACCACCCCACACAGCCAAGCGGCATGTGGCCTCAGCCGGGCGACGTGTGGATGCTGGCAGAGACTGGGATGGGGTGTTCCAAATGGGACCTGGCCTGGTGGCCCCGTGGGCCTTGTGGTGTGGGGCAGTGTCCACCCTCAGGCACTGGCCATGGCAAATTTTGGCCTCTGACCCTCTCCTGCATGCAGCTGGAGCCCTTGGAGCTGATCTATAGCTGTTGCCCCAATGGCTGCTCCGGTCCCCTGCACCCTCCTGCTCCCAGGGCGGCATGGTGGAGTGTGGGGGTCTGTACACCTCCGCCCTTCTCTCTGTCCTGCCAGATGTGGACGAGTGCAGCCAGCAGAATGGGGGTTGCAGCCAGGTGTGCCACAACAAGCCAGGCAGCTTCTACTGCGCCTGCCACAGTGGCTTTGCACTCGCCTCGGACAACAGGACCTGCCAAGGTGAGGCGTGGCCGGGCCCCACCACAACCCCGGCTCGGGAGGAGGTGGGCGTCGCTCAGAGGCCAGTAGCCGCAGAACGCAGATCACGGGGGCTCCAGACCACCCATTCCCCAAGATCTGAGGGGGGGCAGAGGCAGCCGGCCCTGCCTGGCCTGCAGTGTAGCTCCCAGGGTCCAGGCTGGACAGGTGGCCATGCAGGGAGCTCAGGCAGTGCTGTAGGCCCCGGGTCCCACCCACGCGTCTCTCAGGCCCCTCCAGCCCCCGTCTCTGGCCCCCTCGGCCCTGTCCTGAGGAAGCAGAGGCAGCTCAGCCTCCCTGCTCCTGTCCCTGCTTCCGTCAGCCTGCGGCTCCTGGGGGTCTAAAGCCAGAGCAGGGCGCCCTGAGGACACCCCAGAAAGTCACTTCAAAGGCATGCACCCTGCCACCCCTGGCACCCTAGGCTACAGAGAAGCAGCACCCCACCTTGCAGGGGCGACCTTGCCCTGTCCCTGGATCCAGAGGTACCCAAGGTGCCCCTGAGCTCCTGGCCTTGCTCAGGATGAGGGGCACAGCTGCCTGTGTGGTGGACGGTTGGATCCTGGTAGCCTCGGGTGGGGTCAGCGTCAAGAGCTGGAGAGCGTCCCATCAGACAGGGGACACGGTTCCCATCGTCTGTTCTGAGAAGTTTTCATTTCACCCCTTAGTTGCTGTCCCTTACAACCAGAGGCCATCCCTACACAGATGACCGAGGGCCAGGCCGGCCTTCCCCTCCTCCCTCCTCCTCATACCTGGAGCCCTAGGGCTCCTTGCCACGGCTCTATCCTGTGCTTTAGAAGCAAATTGAGGATACCTGGTCACGAGGTGGATTCTTAACTCGGATGTCTGACGTGGCTAATGTGGCCCAGCGTGGGGTGAGCGCTCCACATGGACGCTGGGCTGGCCGACCCTTGGTGGCTGTGCCCTCCCCGACTCTGTCCTCCTCCTCAGTGTCTGGGGCTCCTCCCACCTGTCTGCCCAGCAGCTGGCTGCAGCTGACCCAGGCTCCTCTGCACAGCCTGGCCTCACTGACTTTGCTTGCAGACATAGACGAGTGTGCAGACCCAGATGCCTGCGGGGAGACGCGCTGCAGGAACCTGCCAGGCTCCTACTCCTGCCTCTGTGACGAGGGCTACGTGTACAGCTCCCAGGAGAAGGCCTGCCAAGGTACCCCATGGGCTCCTCCTCCTCCGTCCCAGAGCCCAGAGACAGGGGTCAGTCACTGCCTGAGCACAGGCTTCATTGGTAACAGACTTCAGTCCAGGGTTCTAGGAAACCTCCACCAACAGAGGGTTGGAAAAAGGCCAGGACACCTCCTGCAATGAAGAGGACTTGAAACTGACCCTCACGTTGCCTAGTGGCTACTTACACCACAGTGCAACCCACACATGTATGCATACACACATGCATGCATGCATGCACTGTTGACAAACATGCTTACATACGTACACTCTATGCATGGGAACATACATGGGCACAATCAAATTTGCACATGCCACACGGCATGCACACGCATGCATGTGTGCACACATGGACATATACCATGGAGACACTCATGCATGCTCACTAACATGCAGATGACATGTGTACACATACGTGCTTTCATAAAATATGTGCATGTGAACACATGTGGTGGCTCACCCATGCACATGCACATCTACACATTGTGCATGCACTCAAACATACACTCGTACATACCTACATGCATGCACACACACAAGTTTATGTGTGCACAAAAATGCACACAAACATGCTTGCACACATAAGCTTGCATGCACATGTACACACAACAGTCACACATTCATGTGCTTGAACATGCATGTGAGTATATGCCCACATGTGTGTGTGCACATAATACTCATGTGTATGTGAGTTAGCACACAAACATACGTGCATACACATGGACTCACATATGCAAGCGCACTGTGCTTGCACTCCTGCACATGCCATGGCACATACATGCCCACCCTCCAGCAGCCTGCCACAGATAAAGAGCAGAGACCCTGAGCTTGGACTGTCTATGAGGCTGGAGTCAGCTCACGGTGTGAAGGCTGGCCAGCAAGGTGGTGCCCCTCACTGTGGAGGCCCAGCATGTCCTGGGCACACAGCTGTGAGGCCGACTCTACTGTCACTCCTCTCTGGCAACCTTGAGGAACCCTGGCCCCTGCTGGGCAGCTCCGGAACCCATGTGGGGACTGGACAGCCAGAGTGAGCTGACCAGTGGGCCCAGCCCCACAGCACTCCCTGCTGCCCTCTGCTGCAGTCTGGCCCTCCAGCGTCCCTCAGTCTCCTGGGCCCCTGGTTACACCAGCTGGGCCTGGTGGCCTGAGCAGCCGTGGTGTGGCCGAGCACCTTCCTCAGACACCCACAGCCTTTGCTTGCTCGTAAGAGGAGGCCGCTCTGGGGAGGAGTAGCAGGCTGCTGTTGGGCACTCGCCTGGTGAGACACATGGGACGTCCCCCCACCCGCGCGCTACACGGGGGCTGGCATGGTCTGGAGCTGTCCCCACACCGCCGTGTGACTCTTGGCTGGCAGATGTGGACGAGTGCTGGCAGGGCCGCTGCGAGCAGATCTGTGTCAACACTCCCGGCAGCTACACGTGCCACTGCAACGGGCGCGGAGGGCTCAAGCTGTCCCCGGACATGGACACCTGCGAGGTAGGCGTGATGGGGTCTGCAGAAGGCTTCCAGAGCCAGGGCTTTGGCCTAGGGCTCCGGGATCCCCAGAGCTACGGGTAGAGCTCCATGCCATGTGGGGTTTGGCCGTGTTGATGGAATTTCCATAGCAACCCGGCTCTCGCTGGCCAGCCTGTGCGGCTCCAGGACTTGAGGCAGCGTCTCTGGCTCTGCGGCTGGCTCCACCCTGCAACCTGGGTGGGTGCCTGTGCTCCCTGCGCGGGCAGCTGGCAGCCAGCCAGGCGCTCCTTGCCCTGTGCTCTGGGTGTGGGTGAAGCCAGTCTGTGTGGAGTTGACGGTAGCGAGTGTTCTCCAGAACAGCCACGAGACCCTCCAGGTGAATCATGGTTAGACAAGCAGAGCCACGGGGAACCTGGGACAGCACAGGGCCGCACCGGGTGGAGGCAGTGACCAGCAGCTCTGCTCCTCCCTGGAGCCTGCATCAGGCTATAACAGGCTCTGGGATCTCAGAGTCAGGGAGGCAGAGGCGGGTGTGGGCAGCCAGGTCCCTGGGAGCCACAGGGCAGCCCTCCTGATGTGCCCTCCCCTGGCGGCAGGACATCTTGCCTTGTGTGCCCTTCAGCATGGCCAAGAGCGTGAAGTCCTTGTATCTGGGCCGCATGTTCAGTGGGACCCCTGTGGTCAGACTGCGCTTCAAGAGGCTGCAGCCCACCAGGTGAGGAGGCCGGTGCTGATGGTGGGGCTCCCGGGAGAGCAGAGCCGCCCAGGGTCCTGGAGGAGCCACGGCCAAGGCTGGTGCAGCCTCTGGTTGCTGCTGCCCAGTGCTAGGTGGCCCACACCTCTCTGTTCTGTCTCGGTCTGCGCAGGCTGGTGGCTGAGTTTGACTTCCGGACCTTTGACCCTGAAGGGGTCCTTTTCTTTGCTGGAGGCCGTAGGGACAGCACCTGGGTGGTACTGGGGCTGCGGGCCGGCAGGTTGGAACTGCAGCTTCGCTACAACGGTGTCGGCCGTGTCACCAGCAGCGGGCCTGTCATCAACCATGGCATGTGGCAGACTGTGAGTGGGGCTGCCGGGACTCTCCTGGGCCAGTGTGCATGGGCTCGCTCAAGGGTACCCCTGGTTCTGGGCAGGTGACAGATGCCCACAGATAGAGCCCCATGCCCCTTAGGGTTAGGGTTAGGGTTAGGATTAGGATTAGGGTACACACGCTGGGGCTCACTGTACCACTCAGGGGCCCTGTTCACCTCACATGAGGCCCTCAGAGGTCTCATACAGGCACGGTGGCCAGAGTCCAGGGGACAACCACAGCAAGGGACGAAGGCCAGGGCTGCTCAATGCTCACAGAAGATGGCCTGGCTTAATTTGCCCACAAGCCCAAGTCCCATTCTGGGTGCCCCTGGCTGTACTGCCCTTCTGCCCCTGGCTCTGGCCTTCACTCCTGACACCAGTCCAGGGGAGCCCTCGCAGGGCCTGCACAGAGAGTTTCCACTCCCAGGCCCACATGGACCCACCTGGCCAGCAGACCCCGTACCCCAGGTCGTGAGCGAGATGCTCTTCAGTAAAGCAGGCCTGGAGCTAACCAGAGGGCAGAGAAACAGAAAAACCTCCTTTTCCCTAGAAGTGAAGCAAGTGGAAAATTCCGCCCCGGCCTCCACAGACAGAGCCCTGCAGACATCTGCTCACATTCCCACCTGCCAAGTCATGTCCTGGTCCCCTCCCATCCTTAGAGTAGCCGGAAGGGCATTCCCAGCACAGAGACCTAAGCCAGAAAGGAGGCCATTCCAGGGAGGGTGGCCCACATGCCACACAGCATGGGGACAGGCCCAAGGACAGTGGCCCAGTGGGAACGCATGCTGGAGTGGCCTCTGGGACAGTCCTCGATCTCACATGGCATGCCCTGACAGCCACTCGGGAGCAGGGCAGCTGCAGGAGGCCTGCATGGTCCTGCCCTTTCCACAGGGCCCAACATTTCCACCTCAGCCAGAGGGGAAGCATGGTCCCCAGAGGACGCAGTCCAGTGTGCACAGACACAGACTTAAGGCTTCTCTGCATGGGAAGTTTCAGAGGAAGAACTTATTTGTCCATTCAGCATTCAATCCATGCCAGACACTGATTAGCTGTTAGGGATTTAGAAATTAAAAAATGCTCTGCCCCTTCAACCACACAGGCCAGCCGGGAGGACAGCCTGACACGTAGGAGACCAGGAGGCCAGGGAGCTGACGTGGGGAGGACGGTCAGGGCAGGCCATCCCTGGGCAGCACCCTGCCTGAGCTCCAGGCAGAACCCCCAGGTGCAGAGAAGAGTGGCTCAGGGCGAATCCAGGGCCAAGTGTGGCCAGAGGGGACTTAGGACTTGGAACCACACGTGGGCCACGGGGGTGGGACATCCTGCAGACTGGAAGCTGAGAATGAGTGGACACCCAGGGGCCGGAGCACACCCAGGAGCCTGGGGTTTTCCTGGATGCAGTGCAGCTAGGCAGGCTGTGCAGGAGGGCGTGCAGGTCTGAGGCCACTGTGCCGGCCCAGTTCCCTGCTATTCACAGCATGGGGACCCTGAGCTGTAGGCTCATGCTGTTGAGTTCTCCTGCAACAAGAAGAGTTGGAACTTTGAGATTGCTTTAGGGTTCCGTTTGGCTCTGGCTCTGTGTTTGGCCAAAGTCAGGTTCCCGCAGTGGTCAGGAGTGTCCCCATACAGCCACGCCACCACCAAAGGCCATCTCCCTGCACTGCAGTGTCTGGAGTCACAAGACACTGAGAACATCCAGAGGAGAGAGTGTCCTGCTAGCTGCAGAGGTGTCCCCTGGCTCAGCCTGGCTGGGCCCTGAAGGGGCTGTCTGCAGTAGCCGGCAGGCATGGTCCCTGTCCCTGCCACATGGAGCTCCCCCCAACGACATGGCCTCCCTGGGTCTCTGGAAATCTGCTGTCCTGAAGGTGTTGGAGGTCAGCCCCTTCCCTCAGTGTGCAGTGCTGACCCACATGCCCCTGTGCCTTCTGTCCCCGGGCGCAGGGGGCTGGCCCGGACCTGGGCCTCGTCTCGGGAGGTGGGGCTCCCTGGGTCAGGCCACGCGGGCTGGCCCAAGGGCTGCTCACACCTGCCCTCACAGCACTGGTCTCCCTCAGATCTCCGTTGAAGAACTGGAAGGGAACCTGGTGGTCAAGGTCAACAAGGATGCCGTCATGAAGATAGCGGTGGCCGGGGATCTCTTCCAGCTGCAGAGAGGCCTGTACCACCTGAACCTCACCGTGGGAGGTATTCCCTTCCAGGAGAAGGACCTCGTCCAGCCCGTGAGTGCTGCCACTCGCTGCCGGGGAGGTGCCGGGGTGCTCGGGGCCAGGGCCGAGCCAGGTGAGGGCCCAGAGAAGGCCGAGGCCCCAGGTCGGCCCGGGGCTGAGCCGGACCTCACCACCTCCGTCTGAGCCTCCCTGAGCCTCCATCCGCACTGGCGACAAGGTGTGGTGTGACGGTCCTCGGACACTGCAGTCGCTTTTAACAGAAAGATGAGCCCTTGGACAACTCTGAGCGCACTCCAGGGCTGGTTCTACTTTCAGTCCTGCCTCTTCTCACCCCTCCTGGGTCTCCATCGCAGCCCGCCGAGGTTTCTGGCTGGGACTCTGGGTTTGGGGGTGGGATGTCCACTCTGCACAGGAAACAGGCCTGTCACCCGGGTGGCATAGGCGCCGATGCCCATCCTGGAGGGTCGATCCTGGGATGCCCCGCCTGGGCACAGCACATCAGACCTGTGGCCAGGCCTGCGGTCGGCTGGAGACCGCGCACCAGGCTCTGCGTACCAGGCTGGTGGCTCCTGTGTGCAGACCCTGGAGGCCTCCACATGGCAGAGCGGGGCTGGCCCCAACCTGCCTGGCCCCCGGGAGGCCTGCTGCTGGACACAGGAACTCAGCCTTTCCTGACGTGAAGAGCCCTTCTGAAGGAGCCCCCAGGTGGCGCCCCTAGCTCACCGAGACCTCCCCCGCGTCAGGAGGAGCCTCCCGTGACAGGTGCGCCACGGGGCCTGTCTTTCCAGATCAACCCCCGCCTGGACGGCTGCCTGCGGAGCTGGAACTGGCTTGGCGGGGAGGACAGCAGCCTCCAGGAGACGGTGAAGGCGAGCTCCAAGATGCAGTGCTTCTCCGCGGCGGAGCGGGGCTCTTTCTTCCCGGGGAGCGGGTTTGCCTTCTACAGCCTCAGCTACGGTAGGTCACACCCATGGAAGGGCCGTGGCGGGGCCTCACACCCCTGACGGGATTCCAGGGGACCACCAGGCAGGCCAGGCCTCCCTCGAAGGCACAGGCCAGCACAGGTGGGCCCAGGTGGCCACCTGTCGCACCACTCTGTGGGGGAGACAGCAGGAGGTCCAGAGCAGGCCCGTGTGGGATGGTGTGGGGTCCTGGGCAGGAAGAGCTCCCTGCATCCAGGATGGAGAGGCTCCTGGCCCACCTGGCCCCCACTCAGCGGCCTGAGGGGTGTGGGGTGTCTGGAGGCAGCCGGGGCTACCCCAGGAAGACAGCTGCTTGGGGCTCAGAGGAGGAACACGGGGGTGTGGCAGGGAGGAGCAGGGCCACCCCAGCGCCCTGAGCCTCGGCAGCAGAACTAGGCCACAGGGAGACTTGCCCTCAGCCCCGGGAGAGCCGGGCAGGAAGGTGCTGCCCTCCTCAGGGGCAGGCTGTGTGGACGCCTTCCAGAAGGGTGGGCTGTGGCAGGGCAGGAGAGCCCTGGGGCCTGTGGGCACCCACATAATCTGTGTCCATGGGAGCGGGCTCTGGACATTCTGTCCATCGGGCTGGGCTGGTGGTGCTGCAGCCAGGGAGAGGCCAAGGATGGCCAGAAGGCAGAGGTGGAGGCCAGAAGCCCTTGGCACCTCTGAAGTGGGGCAGATCTCTTGGCGCACCACAGTCAGCTGGGGCAGGCTAGGCCCTTAGACCTCAGGTCAGAGGCCCTGTGCCGAGGACAGACCCCGAGGGACGGCCAGCGCTGGCCCAGTGGAGGGCCCCGACAGGGTACTGCAGGCTCAGGCCTCCTGGTCCCTTCTTGCTCATAAACAGCAAGCCCCCTCCTGCCCTTCCCAGTTCCTGTGCATTTCCTCACGCACCCTGAGGGCTGAGAGCCAGAGGCTGACAAGATCCAGGGGCAGCACTGGGCCTCGGTTGGAGGGGGCAGGAGGCAGGACCCCTTCCCAGGTGCCCCCAGAAGTCTGCAGCTCTAGGTGAGGTCTAAACACAAGGGCCAGAGGACAAGGTCTCCAACGCCCAGTCACAGAGGGTCTAGGGGCCCAGACAGCCTGGACCCGCCTCTCTAGCCAAGTGTGTCCAGAGCTGACCATGGCCTCGCGTGAGACTGGCAGTGTGCGTGTGGATGAAGTCAGCGTGAGGCCCTCCGACCTGGAAACCAGGCCCCCCAGGGGAGAATGTGTGTGGCAGGGGCGGCCACCCCTACACAGGCCTCTCCACGGCTGCCCAGACGGGGCCATGGCCAGGACAGCAGGGTCCTCGGGCTCATGCCACGGCGTGCTCTCACTTCCTCCGGGCCAGGCAGCGCCTCCTCTGCCGAGAGCAGGCGTCGCAGCGTCCCCCGCAGGCTCGCGCTCTGTCCAGCCGCCACTCACTCAGGCGTGGCGGACGTCTGTGCCGCCTTGTAATGCGCGACTCTCATCGCAGCGCGGACATCCCCGGATGCCTGGACGGAGACGACCTGGGAAATAGAAGTGGTGGCTCGCGTCCGCCCAGCGACTGACACGGGTGTGCTGATGGCGCTGGTGGGCCAGGACCACACGGTGCCACTCTCCGTGGCCCTGGTGGACTACCACTCCACCAAGAAGCTCAAGAAACAGGTAGGCGGCGCCTCTGCCAGCGCAGCCCCAGCACCCAGAGCCTGGGAACACCCACCTGGGGAGGGGTCCCAGCCCCGGCCTCTCCCAGGACCTGAGCACTGGATCCAGGTGGGCGCTTGCGCTTGGCGGACCACAGCTGCACGTGGCCACCTCCACACGACTGGAAGGCAGACTGTGGCTGGCCAAGTCGGCTGGAGGGACAGTGTGCTCCCAGGCCAGCACTGGGTGGCACTGGGCCTGGGGTGTGTCCCCCACACTGGTGTTGAGGGTAGTGTGGCCAGCTGCCCCAGGCCGATCAGGGCAGACCCTGCAGGGCAGCACCATTCCTGCCCTGGGAATAGACCCTCCTCTCCCCCGTCCACAGAGAACATGGGCCAGAAGAGAGGGCTCCTGTCCAAAGCTGCCCCCGGGCCCAGCGCTCCTGCTGTGTGCACTCAACAGTAATAGACTCGGCCTGTGCCCCAAGAGGGCCGCGGCCACACACCATTGCTTGCACCCGGCTCCCAGCACCTGGGATAAACAGCAAGCGCCCCACCAGCAGGCCCCACCAGGGGCTGTGAAGGGCCCGGGGCACAGAGCCCTTCCACCCAGCACAGGCACCCACGGGGCTGGGAGCCCACAGCCAGACCCACGTCCCCACCCTGAGGCACCGGGGGCCCTGGGAAGCCGCTCAGCTGTCCCCCATGGCTGGCCAGGGGTTGCCCTGCGATTGCCTCTCACCTCCCAGCTGGCCTCTCTTCACTCCAGTGGGAGTGGGTCACGTGACGCAGGGCTATGAGCCCCTCACACCTCAGGGCCACAGACGTGCCTGGGTCTGCATGAGCCAGCTAGGGCCTGCGGCTACCCCTGCTGGACGTGGGAGGGGCTGGTGGCCACCGTCAGTGGCCCACAGTGGTGGATGACCAGCAGGGTGTGGGTGGCGGCCTCGTACACTGCCCGGGACCTTGGCCTGCTGGGGTCTTGGAGGAGTACCAGAGCAGTGGGGCCCCGTGGCTACCTGACCCATGTGACCCCTGCACTCCCACGTCACCCTGACCCTCCCTCGGTGTCCCCACAGCTGGTGGTCCTGGCAGTTGAGGATGTTGCCCTGGCCCTGATGGAGATCAAGGTGTGTGACGGGCAGGAGCACATGGTCACCGTGTCCCTGAAGGATGGCAAGGTCACTCTGGAGGTGGACGGCACCAAGGGCCAGAGTGAAGTGGGTGCTGCCCAGCTGCAGGAGAGGCTGGCCACCCTGGAGAGGCACCTGCAGGGCTCCGTGCTCACCTTCGTGGGGGGGCTGCCAGGTGGGCTTCCTTGGCGTTCTGGGAGGACGGCTGTGTCCCTGGGCCCTGCTTCCCCAGTCCAGGCTGCTGCTGCGGGGAGCTTTGGCTCTGGAGGGAGAGGGACTGCGGCCTGGCTCTCGGCCTCAGCTGCCACCTCCTGACGGGGGGCCCAGGCAGGCCCGAGCTCGCCCGGCCGCCCTGCAGCTCTGGGGAGCCTCCTCCCAGATCCCAGCCGGCCAAGGCCCAGCGGGAGGCCAGGCAGGCTCTGGGAAGTGTGCCAGGCCACCACCCACACCCTGCTGGTCACCTGCCACTGTTGGCCACCGACATGGCTGCCAGCCCCTTCCAGAGCCAGGAGAGTGGCAGAGAGAGGACGGTGGCTCTGCTGGGGCCCTGTCTGGCAGCATCAGCCGGACTTCTGTCCTGGTGGCCAGACACAGCTCCTCTGGGTTTCCAGCAGTGAGGCTTCCCGGAGGCCACTGGGTGCCCACAGTGTGGTGGCCCCTCTGGGTGTGAGGGCGCCGAGGATCAGCCGGCTTTGTGTCCGCTTGGCGCCGCGCCCCAGGGAGATGCGCTGGGCCTTCCTGGGCCTGGCTCTCACCACCGATGTGCTTGTCGCCCCCCTGCCCAGATGTGCCAGTGACTTCGGCACCCGTCACAGCCTTCTACCGTGGCTGCATGACGCTGGAGGTCAACCGGAGGCCCTTGGACCTGGATGAGGCTGCCTACAAGCACAGCGACATCACCTCGCACTCCTGTCCTCCGGTGGAGCTGGCCGCACCCTAGGCTGCGGCAGGACCCCTCTGGGAAGAGCCCGGCCTTCGTCCAGGAGGCAGGAGTGGGAGGCCGGCCCTGGAGCAGCACCGCCCCGCCCCCTGCGCACTCTCCCTGGGGCCACTCCTTGTGACATAGCTGTGAATAGGGGACTGGTAGGGGCTGAGCCGCCCCTCGGGAGCTGGCCACAGGGTGGGCCCGGGGAGGGCCAGCAGTCACAGAGAAGCAGACTTGAAGAACATAATTCTCTATTATTTTTATTACCACCCGCTTCTTTCTGACTCTAAAATATGGGAAATAAAATATTTACAGAGACCTTTTTAACCCTGTGTTGACCATCTTCTGCTCTGTGAGGTTGTCCGGCCCTGGGGGCAGTGGGCTTTGAGGCTGGCCGCTCTGCAGTGCTCCGTGCCTCCGGGAGCCTGGGTTTGTCCTCTGTGAAGGGGACAGATCTGCTTGACGTGGGCATCAGCCACCGCACAGAGTTCCTGGGGCCTGCGCCTGCCAGGTGGCCTGCAGGGGCAGGAGCCACCCACCCCTGTGCCCGCCCTGAGCTGGCCCACCTGCTTCTGGCCTCGGTCCCCAGCTGTCAGTGAGGAGTGGAGGAGCCAGCCGCCAAGGAGAGGCCGGGTCATCGCTGCCTGGGAAGCCACCTCCGGAAACGCACCAACTCGGTCCTGGCCTCCGGGGAGGCTGCTGCCTAGAGGACCCGGAGCCGCAAGAGGGCAAGGAGACGCCAGTGGGCCGCTGCCCCTCCTAGGCCCAGGGGAGGACCCAGCAGAGGCTCACGCCCCAGGCCGCATCCCTCTGCCAGGATCCCGTCACTGCTGGACCCCCACGGAGGCCCAAGTCAAGAATGAGGCCACCTTCATAAACAGCGAAGCCCAGCTGAGTGCCAAGCTGGGGGCAGCTGGCCCTCCAGGGCACGGCCGCCTTCGGCTCACACACTGGCAGCACCAGCTGGACATTGGACCCCTTGCATCACAGATGACCCTGAGCCCTGCTCTGCACTGGCTCCAGACAGTAGGTGGCTGGCAGGCTGAGGAGAGTCAGGCCAGGCTTGAAGTGCCCAGGCTGTCCACTGGGCACAAGAGCCCGGTTTCGGGCATGGACACCATCTGCAGGCTGGCTGAACGGGACTCACCTCGCCCCACAGCAGGGAGCCAGGAGCCAGCCCCGAGAGGCGTGGGGAGACGGCCTGTGGGGGCCCTGGAGCCAGGGGTGGGCCCCTCGGTGGGCCCCTCCAGCCCTGGCGCTGCCGGGTCCCAGGGCGCTGGTGGTTTCCCTCTGTCCTGGAGGCGGTTCTGGAAGGCCTGCACGGAATGTCCCCAGGGAGCGTCCGCCCAGCCAGCCCTCCTTCTCTCCAGGAGTCAAGGGGCACAACAAGGAGAAGGAAAGCTGTCTCTGCGGCTGGACCCTGCTGGACCCACAGGGACAAGCCTGGGCCTTTCCCTGCCCTCCTCGGGCGTGACACCCCCACTTCCTGACGCTTTCTCAGGCTCCGTGGGCGCCAGGCCTCCACCTCCTGCCAAACACAGCAGAAACCTTGGCTGGCCAGACCCTGCGGCCCCTTCTCTGGCTGCCAATCACGTGGCTCTCTGCACCTTGGGTTCGGACAGCGCCGGAGCTGGGTGCTGACTTCGGGGTCTGGGTTTATTCCAGAGTTTCTCTTTCCTTAAGGAACAGCCTGCACTGTGTGCAGTTCGTCTCTTCCAGGATATCCGGGACTCTGTTCTTTCACGTTCCGTCCTGTGCACAGGGCCATTAGAGCCACCCCTCCACCCAAAGGTGCCAGGCAGCCTCTGATGACTCACTCGCGTGTGACCATGGGAGTGTCTGCAGACCCTGCTCCCCTCCATCCCCTGCAGCCCCCTGCCTGCGGCAAAGCCACCCTCTTGAATCCACTGCTTTAAAGCCAAGGGTGATGTGCCTCCTCCATGATTCGCAGGACTGTGGGTTGCTTGTGCATGTGAATGTGAAGGAAGGCTGCAAGCTCTGCTAGAAGATTCTAGGGACCCACAGGAACACAGGGCTCTCATCCAGAATGGATCACAACTTCCTGCAAGTCCATCAGGAGAATAACCACCCAACAACGAAATGGGCAGGAGGCCTGAGCAGGCCCCATGGCTAAGGGCTGCACGTGGCACTGTGCTGGGCAGGAGGAGGAAGACGAACGGCAGCCACACTGAGTATCGGCATTTTGGTAAATCAACAGCGAGGCCCTGCAGCCCAGAGACGGCAGAAGCCCAACTCTGACAAGTCACAACCAGTCTCATGAGCGGGAGTGTCGTCTGGGCCCAGCAGGAGCACACCACACACAGGCAACAGCTGCAGCAGCTGCTCGCAGAGCACACCCCCAGAGACAGCCCTGCCTCCGCCAGGCTTCACCTGCGACACTGAGAAGTGAGGATGAAGAGCTGCCCGCTGGTGACCCTGTGAGCAACCTCACGAGCCTGAAGCCCAGCACAGCCCCAGCTATGGGCATCCTGGCCTCCAGAAAGGGCCAGCTCACGGGCAGCAGACTCCTGCAGGGTCCAGGCCTGGCACAGCTTCATCCAGCACTTTTCTGCATGTAGATCAGGTTTCATAATTTTCAAGTTTTGTGAAACGGAAAGGGGTGCACTCACAACTCCTGCCACCTGAGCCATTCAGTGCGCCCACCCTGGACAGGTGGGAGGAAAGCCCAGAGCAGAAGCCCCACACCTGCCTGCAGTGAAGCTTCTCTTGGCTGAGACCCTGAGGCCAGCTTTGGGGAGTCAGGGATGGAGCCCCAATATGACAAGACATGGAGGACCACTGGACACTGGCCACCCCTCAGCCTGCAGGGAGAGCCTGGAGGACCCCAGACACCGGGTGTGAGGCCCCCAGGAAGAGGACTCAGCAAACCCTCCACAGCTGAGCTCAGGGAGTCACACCTGCAAGCCCAGCTCCGAAGAGCAGGGGGCTGCCAAGAGGGTCCCCCAACCTGAGGGCAGAGGCTTGACCAGGGCCTGCCCACTCATGGTGCAGCCTGGGGAGAAGCTGCTCGGCATCCGAGGTGCAAGGGAGGCCACCAGGCTGTGGGCGGAATGGCTCACATTCTTTGTGGCTGTGTGAGGGAAGAGACATTTTTGTGGGCATGAATAAAATTGTTGACCTTGGAGTTTAATATTTCTAAACAGCTCTTGGCTCTAGGAAAGAGTAAGAGAGCCAGCGGGGAAGAACAGCGTGGGGCCTGAAAGACACGGCTCAGCACAGCTTCGGGCAGGCGCTCAGCCCTGCCCCAGGCTCTGTGCATCTGGCCGCCGTCAGTACCAGAGGGGAACATTCATTCCTTGGGGATCTGGGTGCCTGGTTGGCCTGGGGGGCTTTGGGGCCATGGCTCTGGTGGGCAGAGGTCCCAGGCTGCCATTCAGGGATGGAGGACCACTGGACACTAGGCCATAGCTTCACCAACTGTGAGCCCCAGGGAGGAGGCCTCACAGTGCACAGAACAGGGCTCTGAGGCCTGGAGATGTAGCAGTCCTTGGCAGCTGGAAGTCCATCTCTGCTCTTCTGACCACTGCACAGGGCGACGCATCCTTGCTCCAGCCCTGGAGTCAGCAAACCAGCAGCAGGGGTCTTTGCCAAGACGTCCCCCCATGCCCCTGGCTTTTCCTAACCTCCTCACCTTCTACTCACAGAGGAGAAGAGGGACCCATCACCACTGCATGCACACCTCCCTCCCCCACCTCTCTCTGTAGTACTAGGGACGCGCCCCGGGGCTCAGGCAGACGAGGCAATCACTCTGTCACTGAGCTACACTCCAGCCTTTTTATGTTTTATTCTGACATGGTCTTGCTGAGTTGCCCAAGCTGGTCTGGGACTCATGATCCTCCTGGCTCTGCAGTTCGGATCTTAGGTAGGTGCCACCACACTCTCCTGCAAGCCCCTCCTTAGGACCAGCAAGGCAGGCCACATCCACACTGCTAAGCTGCCCACTCTGGATGCATGCACGGGGCAGGTCCCGAGGCTGGTGCTGACTGATCCTGACCAACAGGTGCTGAGCAGGATGCGTCACTTGGTCCAGAGAGGATTAACATCAGTGAGAGGTTAAACAGATTTTTACAAATGCCATCAAACTGTGGTCCTGTGAGATCCGTCTTTGCTCCGCAGAGGCCATGAGGAAAACCCAGCCAGCAGAACCTCATCTGACTTGAGCAGAGCGCGCAGGTGACTGTGGGGACTTGGAAAGGGCTGCCGTAGGGAGCCCCACCAGCTCAAAGCAAAGGCTGTCCAGAAATGTGTGACCTTAGCAGACTGGGTGGCACAGATGCCCGGAATCCAGGAGCCCCCAGGAAGCTGAAGGCGGGTGGTCACTGTGGCCTGTGCTCTGCCATCTTGGCATGATCCTCCCTCAAGTTAAGAGCCATGTGCTCTGCAGTCCTTGTGTTCTATCAAAAGTCCCTAAGTTTACACAAGTCCAGAGAGTATGGGCTGTCCTCCTGCCTCCACAGGCAGAGCTGGCCACGTTGAGGGGACAACAGTCAGGCGTGGCTTCCCCTGGCCTTCATCTATGTGGCCTCTGAAGACATGAAGTGCTTGTGAGGTCTGGACCTGACGTCCCCCAAGGACTCCTATGATGAAGGCTTGGTCCAGTGCAGCTGTGTGCAGGGGTGGGCCCTGGGGAGTGGGTGGACCATGAGGACTCTGACCTCAGCAGTGACCAACCCATCCGTGGTTAGTGATTCGCATGGACCGTTGCGGGGTCGGGGGGGACCTGAGGTGGGCTGGGCCCAAGGTCATTGGAGAAGGTACGTCACCAGGGCTGTCCCTGGGGAGGGCTGACCTCGTCCCCACCGTCCTAGCGCACTCTTGGCCTCCTGGCTCCAGGTTGCTAGTGGCCTTCCGGCACCACAGATTCTACCCTGACATTCCTGGAAGATGGCCAGGTTAAACGAGAGCAAATGGACACAAAGGTCGACTTTGGCGTGTCTGAGAGAAGTTCAGTCATTTTTTTGCTAAGTTTAAAAATATAGTCCAAACGAGACGGACAATTCAGCAAGAGTGGCCATTGACCATGGGATCTGAAACCTCAGGCCTTTGCAACAGTTCCACAAATGACATTTGAACCTCAACTTGCAAAGAACCATCCAGGAAAAAAGAAGGCTGAGACACGCTCTCAGAAATGCTGGGGAGCTCAGCTATGGTTCCTAGAGGTCACGGTCACTAGGGTCTGGTTCCTGGAGGTCAGGGTCACTGGGACCTGGTTCCTAGAGGTCACGGTCACTAGGGTCTGGTTCCTGGAGGTCACGGTCACTGGGGTCTGGTTCCTGGAGGTCACGGTCACTGGGGTCTGGTTCCTG